TGTTAGCGTAAGTCTGGAAACAAATGGATAAAACATTGCAATTGGATAACCGTTTTTGATATGCAATCGCTAACTAGTGGTGTCCATAAACCCGGTTCACCTGATCCAGCTCATAAATGTATACCTTTGATACCGTATGTGTAGCCAATAAGCCGGTAGATTTATTACACGACACCCAATAAGCCAGAGTTTATGTTATTGTTTAGTTCAATTGAAATGCAAAATACTAGTGAATCATGATTTCATTATCAATGCTATTTCACATGCAATATTACACACATGATTACACTGGCAGTGTTTAGTTAGCATGCAACATTAGATAAGAACTATTTGTTTATTTACATAAATACTACACTCTATGGAAACCCGATATAACCCAAGCGCTCACAGCTCGGGCTTATGTACACCACTAGCGATGATTACGTTTACGGCGACTATCACTACAATTAGTCACTCATTGTGTTGACTAAATACTATTGAGTAGTATTGTGTATAACAGTCGGCGCCGGCACTCGTGTGTATTGACGCCAACGAGTGGTATACAAAATGGGTTGCATTTGTCTAAACCACGTGTTTGGGCGTCGGGTGTTTCAGGTGGACTTAGAGCCGGGCGGACGCATACACGTGAATGTGGAGCTCCGGGCGAAACGGGAGCCCAAGTCGATGGTTACAAAATGGGTTGCATTTGTCTAAACCACGTGTTTGGGCGTCGGGTGTTTCAGGTGGACTTAGAGCCGGGCGGACGCATACACGTGAATGTGGAGCTCCGGGCGAAACGGGAGCCCAAGTCGATGGTGACCCACGAACGGGAGCCCATGAAGGAGTTCAAAGAGCGCCAGGGCTTCAACCGGCGGAGGGGCGCCCTCAGGAGGCGCGTGCATCAGGTGAATGGCCACAAATTCATGGCCACAATCCTCCGTCAGCCCACCTTCTGCTCGCATTGCCGTGAATTCATATGGGGTTTAGGCAAACAGGGCTACCAGTGCCAGGGTATGTGTGCTCTCAATATCAATGAATGTCTATATATCTTGAGATTTTAATTGATTTTTTTTGGTGATAGTGTGCACGTGTGTGGTGCACAAGCGGTGCCACGAGTCAGTGGTGACCAAATGTCCCGGTTGTAAGGAGCAGAGCGACGACTCGCTAATGGCCGGCCGTTTCAACATAAACGTGCCGCACAGGTTCGTGGTGCACAGCTTCCGCACTCCCACCTACTGCAACCACTGTGGCTCCATGTTGTACGGCATCTTCCGACAGGGCCTCAAGTGCGCCGGTATGTCGTGGGATAATCATTTGTTTTTGCGGGGTTTTGGGAGTCATTTCTGTAGTTTTGATTGTATTTAATGTTTAGAGAGTGTGTTGTAAATTGTTTTATGATTTTGTTTTTAGAGTTTAGCGCAACGTTTTGTTTAGATTATTCTGTTCAGAGTTTAGTTAAAGAATTGTATATTTTTATGGTTAGAAAATCTGCGAATTTTTTTTGTTTGTTTAGTTTTTATGTTTTTTTGTTGCAATTCTGGATCTAATTCTTGGACCACTTTTTTTTCACTCACGCGTTGAACACACAGAATGCGATCTAAATGTCCACAAGAGATGTCAGGCGAACGTCGCGAACAATTGCGGCATAAATGCGAAAGTGTTGGCCGACGCCCTCCAAGGGTTAGGCATTTCGGGCGAAAAGCTGAACAAATCGGGCAAAAAGAAGAAGACGTCGATCAGTGAGTCGCC